TGATAGGGTCCACGAGAGTGAACTGGAAGAAGAAATAAGTATTAAGCATGACAACGAAAGGACTGATAACAGTCTATACGATAATGTAAAATGCTTTTTAGCATTTTATGCTGACTCATTTCTTGAATGTAATAAGCTATAATGTATTTTAATGAAAATGTGTTTCAACCTAGATCTGGCCTCCAGATATAAATACAAAACTATTTGAAATGTCAAAACACCATAGAAGAGGGAAATTAACAAAATAAAGGCAAAGTGACAGCTATTTTAGATGAAGCAGGAGGAAACAACAAGCTCATTAGAAGATTCTTGTGAGACAGACATTCAAATTTGAAAAATTGTTTTATATGACTTTGGAAAGAAGGGAAACAAAAGCAGTTGATGTAAAGATAAATTACATACTTTTCATGCTTACCTCAGCTCAAATTAATAATCTTCATAATAATCCTGTGCCACTAATAATAACCATTAATTTTTATTTAGATCTGCTAAGCAGTATCCTGGGTGTTTTACATGCTTCAAGTGATTTAATTATAAAGAAAACCCTTGAGGAAGGTACCATCAACTTCCCCTTTTATAGATGAGGAAACTTAGGCACAGAGACATTAATGAAGTTGTTAGTGAGATAGTTTTTGGCAAACATATTTATCTACATTTATCAAATAATATGTGAGGGGGCATACTTTGATTTCATGGGAAAAAAACTTCATTTCTATTTTCTCTGTTAAAAAATCTAAGTTGTTGAATTTTCCAAAGTCAGAACATGTCATCTTCCATTTTATTTCTCCCCTGTATAGGAAGGTAGTTGCACTTTCTTTGTGAGAAGCGCAAAATGAACACAGTCCACTCCTCTCATTCTATCATTTTCAGTACTTTCTTACTCCACCATAGTAACAGCCCTAGGAAGGAGGGCAATTTGGGCTAGTATAAAAGAGGCAGAAGAAGGCACTAAAATCAGAGTTACTAAATTTTGGTGCAGAAAGTAATTTAATGTAGGTCCTTTGTCCTCTTGAATAGTTTCATCCCTAAACATTGGATGAGTGAATTGGGCTCAATATTCTATCTCTCCAAATTTTATTGTTAATATCCATTCTGGTTCAACTTTCTTCATGTGGGCCATATAGTATGTCATGACAAGACTTATAGACTTAAATTATTTTTTTCTGTAGGGTTTGAATACTACCTGAATCTCCTGAAGGTGGTATGAATCACTACTAATTTCATGGCAAAAGAAAAGGATCATCCATCCATTAACTAATATTATTAGGTCTGAGAGCCAGAACCCCGTACTCCCCAACTCATTCAATGAAATAGCCCATTTGGCCCTAGGTGCAATGTATTCCTGTGAGTTTCCACTGCCTCTTATACAAACTACTGACTGTGGAGAAACTTGATCAAAACATCAAAGATTTCCAGAGAAGCCGTGTTTGTGCCCTTCAAAACTGTTGATGAAGTACCTTAACCTCACCTTCTCTTGATGCCTTGCATATGGTCATCTGTCTTCCTGACTACTACTTCAAATGGCTTATTTGTAAATTCAAGCAAATGTGCTTTTGACTGGCACTGATACATCACTGATGCCAAAATATCAGAGAAGATGAAGCATAAGGACATATTTTTTGATTCAGATGGAAAATATTACAGATTTATGGGGAGATGATGACAATAGCCATTCCATGATATCTTCATATAATCAGTATCTTTCCATGCATCTCTTCACCAAGTTTTATGGCCTCAAAACTTATTCAAAGAAATTATTTTCTTGCTGACCCAAAAGGTGTTCAGATGGGGCTGGTTTGCTGAACAACCCAGCTCTGACTTTTCACGTGCTAGGTTTCCACTGCTTTCCAATGACCACTTACTGGGCCATAATGCATAGAAAGTTTATTGATGTCCCATGGATATTGATGTGATTTTCCCTAGTGGATTGAGGGCAGCACAGCATGTAGCCATTAGTATCTAAAGGTTATATATAATGGATAATAGAGGAATATGAAATAGCAAAAAGGAATTTGTACAGGAAACAGAAGCAGTAAATAGTTTCAGTGAAATATTTTCCTTGGGTTATACAGCAACTACAAAGGGGGATTGAAAAGAAATGATGACTTTTACAGCAATAGTCGAGAATGAAATGGTTTCATATTTTGAAATATAATACCTTTTTATTTCAACCACAGAAAGCCATTTAAAAATCATTGTATATTACAGTTCTTATGTAGCATCTTTCACCTGAATGCCTATTTATGAATTTTTACTCTACCCACCTGAGATGAGTAGCAATATGGCAATATGGGTGGGGTAAATCGATGAAGGGATTTTTACTGATTTATCTAAGGTCACATAATGTCCAGTTCATGACAGAATCAGGAACAAAGTTATAGTGTTTGCCATACACACCTCCTCATTGTGAACCCATTCAACCTACTATGCCAGCATTTTGCCTGACATTTCTGAGTGTAAGAAACTCACAGTAAATGATGTCAACAGATATCTCTCACCAATCAACCAGTCTTAGTTTCACTCACCATTGCAATGGATGACCTGGTATATTTAACTGATTTTTAATTTAATAAGAAAAGAAAAAAAAAAGGTGGACTTATTTAGTAGACTGAGAAGTAAGTGAGCTATAAAGTTTGCTGCAGTGCTGTAAGCGTAGCAAAGCCTAGTGCTCAAGAGCATGAGCTTTGGAGGCAGTCTGCTCTGGCTTGAAGTTCAGGATGATCATTGAGCTATGCTACCTCTTGATGTCAATGTGACCTTTACATGACCTCTTAACTTTGCTGTGTCTCGGTTTCCTCATTCATAAAATACATGTAATACTGATATCTACCCTTAAGGATTGGTGTGAGAATTAAATAAGCTGATACAAGTAAAGTACTTAGCACAATTATTTTCAACAAACTTTTACTGACAGCATTGCTATATGCCAGTCACTGTTCTTGGTGCTGGGATATAGCCATGAACAAAATGATTGATTCTAGGAACTAGTGAATTTTAATGGTGAGTAATAATTATAATGATAACAATGGTAATAATAATAATAATCAACATTTATAGGCTACCGACTATCTTTTAGGCACTATTCCAAGTGCTTTACTTATACTAATTTGTTTAATTCTCTTAACAACCCTATGTTATAGATAGTACTTTAAGCCCATTTTTATAGATGAGGAATGGCAGGCCTGAAAGGTTAAATAATTTGCCCATGATAACATGCTTAGTAAGTGGCAGAGGTCTGAAAATCCATGCTCATAACTATTGCACTATATTGCCATTGGTTATCCTATTAAAAAAGGCAGTCCTTGAAATGACTAAAATGTTGTACTTTCACTTGTGAAATGAATAAATATATAACTTAATTAATGATGTCTCAGAATATACAATGAAGTTTTCGATACAGGAATGGCCACTGTAATAAATTTAAATCGAAACATAGTTTTGAACACAGTATAAACCTATTAATAAAGAGCTTGCAATTACTTGGATTTGTTTATATCAGGGGTTAAGTCTTCTATCTAATACATTAGTTCTCTATACAGTAAAAGTTAACAGAAAATAATTCATGGTAGTTTGTCTCATAATTGAACAAGAACATTTTAAAAGGCTCTAATTTATGTAAATTTACAGATTATTCCATGTTTTGAATTATTTCACATTAAAATTGTGTTTGAGTTTCAGTGCTTTCTCATTCCCTACCTCCATCACTTCACCAGTATTTCTCATTACAGGTTATTACAAACCAAATAAACACACATGTTGGGTTATCCTGAAATGCCTGAGATAAAAGACACATTTTTTGATATTATAGGGTAATATCATCCACATTTAATAGAAGCATTGTTCAAACATATTCAGATTGTGTGATGACAATATAAAAGAGAGAATTATGAACATCAGCATAAGCTATATGATGCTATACTTCAGACATCATTAGTGACTTCCCTATAAAATATACGTTTCTTTACTTACTTCCCCTGTTCTATGACTCTTACACAAACTGTTTATGTGTGAACTCTCTTATCATTCACATTTTGGAAAAATTGGAATCAGCCAAACATACTTTATTATTTGTAATTTTAAGAAAGTCTAAACCCCTTTTTATCTACCTCTCAGAATCATATTTATTGTGTCTTAGTGGGTAATTCTGTTTCAATAGAAAGTTGGGTTAAACCTGAAAAGAAGTTACTGGTGACATACCTGGATAGAACTTTTTTCTACCATGGTATTCTACTTATTCTAGAAGTAGTGCTTCCACAAAATACATGTTTCTTAGGTTAATTTACATTTTAGACTGCAGAACTAGTCAAGCAAGGAAGTTAATATTCAGTCAAAATAAAAATGCCATCCAGACAAATCAATACAATTTGCTATCAAGTGAGGGTGACTTTAATCAGAGGGACTCAAGAACAACATTATTCATAAACGAGGAAAGAGCATCTTAGTACCATTTTCCTTTACCTTCCCAAACATAGTAACCACACATATTTTTCAGACATTTACCTAGTGAAAATAAGAATATATTTCTTGGATCCAGTGTAAAAATCTGGATTCTTGGGAAGAAATTATGCACTGGATTTTCTGATAGCTTCCAAATAACTACTGCTTTGACAAAATTGCTACCTGAAAATTCGGTAGCAGTATTACTGTTTAACTGTAATTTAAGAAGCTATTGTAGATTGGTACTTATGACTTCTAATGAGAAAACCATAACAACCTTTTAATTGAAAGGAAAATGGTTAACTACAGTAATTGCAATCAATAAGACTGTGTTGGTAGTATAAATATTTCTTCTCAAAGTGCATTTCTTACTCGCCTTAGCTGTATTTAAGGTTAGGAAGCTAAAAAAAAAAAACGAATTATAAATCCATTTGTTATTTATAATACTAAGCCTTGGTCCAAATTTGTACATCCCAGAGTTGAAAGAGAAACCCCCACTCCCACCACAAGCAAAACAAGGCTTTGATTATGAAGAAAACTGAAGCATGAATGAAAAGGCTTACCAATCACATAGGCTAGTAGCAAGGCCAAAGTCACTGTGATTGCAGTGGCGCTCAGGGCCGTGCACTTCCAATTGCAGCACCTGTAAGGTTTGTTAAAGGTAAAGGCAGGTCGGGAAAAGGTGCTTCGAGGAAGCGGCCTGGGAGGGGGCGAGTACACCGTATTGGACGTCAGAGGGTAGTTCTGACTGGCTGCACTGAAGATAGCAGAGGAACCAGATCCATGTTTGAACAGGAAATGCCTGCAAAGAGGAAACAAAAGTTTGGGCTATAAAAACCAAAGCCAGTTGCTACAAAAATACAAACTCCACTGATTTCAAACAATTATGCTATGACAACACTCAGGGGAAGTGGGAGGTGCTCAACAGAATTTTAATATACCTGAAAGGTAACTCTAAATTGTCCTTGCTGGTCTCTCCCTACTTTTCTTCTTTTCTCATTTAGGTCTTTTCTCATTTGGATCTTTAAGAGGACAAAAGGGGTCTTGTGTTTTCTGACTTGCTCACTAGTGAGTGCTAATATTCCACATTTGATTTTATACAGTCTACTCCTCCCTTTCACTAAATATAATCCTCAAGAGTTGATTCAAAACAGAAAGAGATGTTCCATCAGGCATTTTGATGATAGAATGGTCTAAACACTAATGTTTGAGATTTTCCTCACTACCAAACTTTAGAGACTAGCTTTCACAGTCATATTTGCACCCAACATTTCATTACAAAACTATTGAATATACCAAGTTGAAAGAATTTTATAATAAACACCCATATACTCACCAACTAGATTCTACAGTTAACATTGGACTATACTCACTTTATCACATATTTATCCATCTCTCTATTCCTCTCTTCATCCATCAATCTGTCTCAGCTTTTCAGCATTTCAAAGTATGTTGCATACATCAATACACTTTTCTTCACATAGTTCAACTTGCATATATTATTATCTAGAGTTTCGTTTCATATTTTCTATACATTTTTTAACATAAAACTTATACACCACAAAGTGCATAATTTTAAGTGTACATTTGCCGAGATTTGACAAATGTAATCACCTATGCAACCCAAACCCCTATCACGATCTAGAACATTGCTATCACCACGGGAAGTTTTCTCCTGCCTTTTCTAAGTACATCCTTATCTCCACCCCCAGAGACAACCACTATTCTGCATTTTTCTCCACCATACATTTGTTTTGCCGGTCATAGAACTTCATACAAACAGAGTCTTGTTTGGATTAGTACAGGATGATTATTAACGGTTCACTATTGTAATATGGGCTGTTTAGAAACAGTATTGATGTATTCACATGGAAGAAGCTGTAAAAAGCAAATAAATGAAAGCATATTTTTTGTGCATGTACTTTACACTTATTGAATGCTAAGTGCCATGAGTTGTGCTGAACCCTGATTATCTCATTTAGTCTTCACTTGTATGAAATAGGCTATATCATTATCTTCATTGTGCATTTAAGGAAATGGAGGCTTAAAGAGGTTAAACAACTTGCCCCAATTGACCTAGCAAGTGAATGACATAGCCAGAATTGGAACCCAGGTCATTTGGGCTCCAAAGTCCTTAATTTTAAACACTCTACTGTGTAACCTGTGGCACTAAAATGCACCACTAAACAAAACACATTCTTGAGCTCTATTTTAATGTACAACACAAACCCCTCTAGTAAGCAAAAAGGCAACATCACTTTGTACATGTAACATATACCTAAATGCTAAATCATTAAGATTAATTTAAGAGTGATTTTTAGCTTCCGTATTTAAAGAACAAATGCATTTGTATTTAAGAGGGGAAAAAACAAGTATACATGCCAGTGAATAAAAAATATCTACAATAGAGAATTTTGCTTTAGTATCATGAGGTTAAAGATTTTTTAAAGGGCCAGGTTGCTGAGGGGAGTGCAGATTCACAAATCTTTCTGGAGGACACTTTGGTGTTATGTATCAAAAGACTTTAAATATGCATATTCTTTGATGCAATAATTGTGCTCATAGGAATTTATCTTCAGGAAATGATGTGTATGACAGTGTACATAAGAAACCATTCATTGCAGTGTTATTTATAATAAGAAAAAATAAACATCCAAATGCTCAATAATTAGTATTTCATTAAGTAAATTATTTTGCGAACACATAATAGAATTCTATATAACCATTACAAATCGTGTCGTAAGAGAATATCTATTCATTAAGAAGTCCTTATGGATATTGCCAAGTAAAAAAAAGGCATACTTTTAAAGAGTATGGACAATAAGATAAAATTTTTCAAAAAAGAAAATGCGTATGTGTTCATGGAAAAGTAATGATTTGTCTTACTTTTGGACAGTAGGGGTATTTTCTGAACTTTTCTGCCTTGAGCATATATCGATTTTGTAACTAAGATAAAATAGATTGCTGGGGGGGGGTGGTGGTGGAAAAAATTAACTGGATGACATCAACCACAGGAAGAGTTGGTTCCATTTAAGCAAACATGATTTACTGAGCACCAAGAAGGATCAGGCACCAAGTTAGGCACTTTATGTGCATTATTTTGATTCTCTTATGTCTGTGCTGATACTATTATCCTAATCTTACAGACGACTAAACTGCAACCCAAAGAGGTTTAGTAGGAGTAGGGTGGTGATAAAAGTAATTATAGTAATAATAAGAGGTAACATCTGAGTGCTTTCTTGTGCCAGACATTGTTCTAAATACTTCAGAAAGTATTATATCATTCAATCTTCACAACAGCCTTATTACAATCAGTATTTCCATTTTACAGATGAGAAAACCAAAGCATAGAGAGGTTAGTTAACTTGTCCATGATCTCACAGCTAGTAATTGGCAAAGCTGAGTTTCACACCCACACGGTCTGGCTTCAGAGCCACTGCTCTTAACTAATAAACTATAGTACATTATATTAAGTTTACGCATTTAGTGGACACATTAAGATTTGAATCCAGGCCAGTTAAGGCAAAGAAGGGTCATGCTTTGTGTTGAATTTGGCATGTGGATGATGCTGAACTAAGCCATACTATTACCCTGTTCTCTTTGGGACTAATGATAAGAACGTGGGAGTGATGGCTACAGACTCACAGAGTTGGAAGGAACCTTCAGAAATCATCTAGTAGCCCAACTCCCTTATTTTGTAGTTAGGGAAACTGAGGCCCAGAGAATAAAAGTGACTTACCTAAAGATACCATAGGTTGTTAATAGCATGGATGAAATTGAATTCTGGGACTTCAGAAATAGTATATTTCCATTGCCCTTGCTACCTGCTGACCACAGTCTTCATGGGATAGGACCAGATTCTAATCACCTGAGTTAACTGACCTGGGATCAACAAATACCATCTGTTCAAACAGTACTACACAATACATGTCTCTCCTTATGTATGTCACACGTTCTTGTGGTAAATTTTTAAGACTGTCTTAACTATTTTGGATGAATGAGTAAACATTACAAAGAAGCCACCTTTAGTTGATGAGAACCTAAAAGAGTTATTGCTGCTTCTAAAGGCATCCAATGTATCCCCAGAATGAAGAAGCAGTATATAAATAGTAATAAAAACAAATATATTTTATTGAATAAGTGACTCATAGCATTGTGCTCTTTCCATCTGATTGTGCTTCTTCTCACAAGCTTTGAAATAATCTCCTCTGTGCCATAAAGAGGTGGATTTCTTCTTTGATGTCTGGTTAGCTCTTCTAGCCTATGGTTTTTCCTTTGGCCATCTAATTTACTAGTGAGCAAGAAGTGTAGCACTTTATAAGCAGCATAGTGGAGTATGCTTTACCTCCCCAACCCTGTCCTGTGGTCCCTTGGGGGTTAACAAAATGTCACTTATGTCTAACTGATCCTATATAGCAACCTTCTGATATGCTCCAGCAGTACAGCAGTATGGGGCTTTTTTACTCAATGTTTGGAGATAAAATATTCAGTTCTTTGCATATTTATGAAGGAGAACAATTGGATTTTTGAGACAATGTAAAGTGGCCCAATATGTTGGAAATTGATTTGGTTTGGTATATCATTAAGAAGTAGAAGAAAGACAGAGAATTGTTGGCTATTATGATGGCAATTACAAGCAATAATCAATATCCCTGAGCACTATAATTTCATCCTGATGTACACCAAAGGATTTCCAAATGCAGTTTCGTAAGTAAAATATTACAGCATAATGAATAAATTCAACAGTTGCAGCAGAGCAACATTTAAACTAATTCATATTTGAGTGGAATCTAAATCACAGTCCTCAGTGAGGTAGATAATAAAATGAATTCATATACCAAGGTTCTTGTTTTCTTATTAACAAGTTCAGATTAAGATTCTATGGTGTAAGTGATCTATACTTTGATGTGTGCCGTGAAAAACAGCAATGCAAATGCTATGTATTGTCATAGGCTTTGCAGTCCATTGTTGGGAAGTGAAACTAGTGCCTAAATGTGTTTTTGCAGTCCCTGAAGAAAGTAGAAGCATAAAGACAAATGCTCAGTGCTAGACTTCAGCTATGTGCTCATAAAATCAGATCATCTGTCTAAGCACATTGCTTTTCCCTGGGGACCTGAGGATATACTAAAATGTTGCTATCAATTTCATACAATTGGGTTTTTTTCCACAGAGCAAATGATAAAAATGCAGTTCAAGAGTTTATGTGTAAGTAGTACTCTTCTTTGCATCTGTTCTAATATTCAAGTTCAGATTTAAAAACGAAAAGCAAGATATTGCCAAAAGGAAATGGCATATAAGGAAATTTAAAAAAAAAGAGATCTTAGAGACTGATGAGACCCAGTGGTGGTAAATTGGAATATAATAAATGCTCCTGTAAGGATTTTAAAATCATCTATAAAAATGGGGGAAATGTACTCTCTCTTTTTAAACTCCTCATTCTACATAATTCTGAGGGTTTCTGTTGCACTAAATAATATGATTTAATGTGGCACTTAAAATTCTATAGGAAATAGACAGACATCTATAGCTTTCTAACAATGGATGCATAAATAACCAATGATTTTGTCTTTTACATCTTATAAACATTCTTATGAGAAACATATCTAAACCTGTATTCCCTTAGCTATAACCATTTGACTCATTTTTATACCCAGAGGAAGGAATTCAGCTTGCTTCCAGTAAGAAGCTGAGGTTGATTTAAAAAACAAAGAAAACTACAAGTTCACAGAGCCAGATCACATTTGGATAGGAGAGTGGAATTTAGGTATTTATTGTTTTTTTAAAAAATATTATTAAATGCATTTTTACTGTGATAAAAAACACATAACATAAAATTGACCACTTTAAGAATTTTAAGTGCACAGCTCACAAGTGTTAATTATATTCACATAGTTGTACAATCTCTAGACCTTTTTCATCTTACAAATATGAAACACTATACACATTCAACAACTCCTCTTTACCTCCTTCCTATAGCAACCACCATTCTACTCTTTGTTTCTATGATTTTGACTACTTACATACCTCATATAAGTGGAATCGTACAGTATTTGTCTTTTCATGATTGGTTTATTTTACTTAATGTCCTCAAGGATAATCTATTTTGTAGCATATGACAGGATTTCCTCCCTTTTCAAGGCCAAATAATAATCCATTTTATGTATATACCATATATTGTTTGTCTATTCATCTGCTTATGGATGCTTGGGTTGCTTCCACCTCTTGGCTATTGCGAATAGTGCCTCTATGAACATAGGTGTGCAAATATTTCTTTGAGATCTGCTTTCACTTCTTTTGGATAAATACCCAGAAGTGATATTGCTGGATCATATGATAGTTCTATTTTTACTTTTCTGAAGAACTTCCATAACATTTTCCACAGTGTTTGCTATTTTACAATCCCATCAACAGTATACA